AACGCTTTCAGTGGGCAAACTGACGTCGTGGTTAAGAACCAGCTGCTCCCCGTTCGAACCGTAAACCACCCGACTAATGGGCAACGAAAATGCCCGCGTAGAATTGCTACTCCAGCAGTCGAGTTAGAATTCGAAACTGGCTTTACTCGACTCACAGGCACATAAATCGTATGTAAAACCGGTAATTGCTTATAAATATTGAACATATTATAAAGGAAACACTGATGCGGTTAGACTAGCGGACGGACACACCACCATGACGAACGGTACCGCCACGTTTACCGCCAAAATCGCGGAATTAGAAGTGCGTTTTTCAGCGGTTATTTTAGACGACCTGTATTGCGATGTATTACTGGACCATGATTTTCTGATTGATCAGAAAGTCGCCTGGGACTACTCAGCAGGAACAATACACTTAGGCACTAAAAAACGTACAACCGCTTGCTAGAAATCAGGTACAAGACACACGATCCGCAAACCAGATCTGACGCAGTTAGATATAACCGGCGACCCAAGAACGCGTGCATTATTAACACCCGGTCCTCCTCCTCTTCCCAATTCCCCTCCTAAAACCCCCCGCCACGAGTAATCGGGCGAGACGTTTCCTTCCTTTTCCTCCTCGGTCCTTAAGTCATCCGTAGGTTACGGATGACCGGACTGAATAGTCCACTCTCCCTTGCCAACGAGACTGACTGTTTCAGTCTAATACGGTAAGACTTAAACGCAGTATCAATGACCATCCACATACACAAGGAACATGGTGGTACGATTGTTTATTACTTATAACTACTATGTACGATGCTACAATTTGTTTACAAAACTGGCTGGGTCATAAATAGACTGACGGCTTGGTGAGGGGGAATTGACACGACACCGCCCTACGCTCTAGGCTTGCGCTCACCTGTGTCTCTCTCGATATCAGCCGTCCAGCTATTAATAAGACAATCGGTTGTCATTGGTTGTCTCCCCGCCCTTGACACAAAGATAAGACCGCCGCAGAGTATGGATTACGGATATTGCGTTCTTTCCGTTTCCGACGTTAACCTTGACTGGTTGTTGCGTTTCTCTTTCTTTTCTTTCTTTTGACACTCATTTATTGTTTTGCTTGTGGTTTTGTGATTTTAATGTGAATATTTGCTCGTATTGTACTGGCGTGATATAGAACTATACCTTTTGTTCGAAGGTGTATTTGAAGTTTATAAATATATATACACGGACGTATACACAGATTTACCGATCTCATCACTGTGACTAGTACCATGATACATCTTACTATACGTCTATAATTAGTATATACACTAGGGTGGCCCTCAAAAATCGAATGTCTTTTTTTTTTTTACGCTACCCCTTGTCTTGTTGCCTAACCGGAATTTGAAAAAAACCTTAGTTTAAATCAAAAGTGCTAAAATACTTTGACCCTTTTCGCGTATCCAGTATATGGTAGAACGCCACACACTATGAATTGTATATATATATGTGTATATTAGGGTGGCCCTTAAAAATCGAATGTCTCTTTTTTTTTTACGCCACCCCTTAATTTTTTTTTAATGGTCAAAAAAATGAGCTGTGCAAAATTTGGGACCAATCCTTTAAGGTTAAACCGTGCCCCCGGGCCTATTAAGTTGAGTCATAGAGTCAAATTTAATAGAAATAACTGATCTATGTCTCATAACTTTTTTTGCTCTTAACTTAGAATAATAAAAGTAAAACTAACTAAAGGAAATTTTACAGGAAATTCAAAAATAATAACTTTNGTAAAACTCAAGTAAAGGAAATTTTACAAGAAATTCAAAAATAATAACTTCAATGTTGTTTTCTCAATAAATAGCCCACAAAAACACTACATACAGTAAAAAACATGTAAAAGTCTTAAAATACGTTATAACTGATTTTGATGATTTTTAATTATTTATTTTCATTTTATTTTTTGGAAAACGCATATTCGTTTAAAAAAAGATTCTAGAAGTTTAATTTTTTATGCCAAGTACGATAATTATATTAGATTTATTATTTTATGGACAGTTAATTAATGATTAATTACAAACCTAACAGTTTAATTTAATTGTTATTAACAATTTTTAATTAATTTTTTTTTAAATAATAATAACTTTAAAAAAAATATTTTAACAATAATTAAATTATATTATTATAATATATTTTTTGATAATGTACTTTTTTTACAATTAGGAAATTTTTTCCGATAATTACTTACTATTTGTAAAACGTATTGTTTCTGTTCTTCATTTGTAGTTAATATATTAATGTAGTCTTAGATTAATTTAATGCCACGCTAGGCTGTATCATTAATGACTCGTAATTTACTTATAGTATTTAAAGCATTTATGTAACTGTTGTTCGCACTCCAAAATGATGGATCAATTTTCAAAAAATCAGTGTTCAGATTAAATAGTTGTAAATTTGATGGTAATTTACTACCAGTTATTTCGTGAGAATAATTACCAATAAGATAAATATTAGTTCGTAATACTTTAAAAGACGCTAAAAGTATTGTGCATTTGTGATTAAAACGTATTATTTAATATATAATAATAAACAGGTAAAATATATTTAACGTGTTCACAAATTGTCTGCTGCATTTATACGACACAAATTATGTCAGTTGTTGAATAATATAATAATATAACTCAAATATACTTATCTTTAATAATAATATAATTGGTACTATCTTAAAGTAATTCAGTAAACCAAAATTGATATATTGATACGACAAAATGTAATAATACAATCAATTTTGTTAAATTTGTAATTAATCATTAATTAACTGTCCATAAAATAATAAATCTAATGTAATAAATGTATCAGTTATGTATGAAGAAGATGACGACGCTTTTATGGTGCCTGAAGAAATAGAAACATTGGAAGATTTTTCAGTCAGTCATTGAGTATGACTGATGGTAATGGACAGATAAATATAAAAAGTTATACAAATTTAATTTCAAAACAATCTAATCAAAAAGATGTAAAACAAATATAAAAATTGATTGTAATTGTAAAAATCCATTGTTAAAATCAAATGAAACCCAAAATAATATTTTAAGAAATAATTTATACAGTTACATGCTACCAAAAGATTTGGAATACTATAGACAGGTAGTTGACCACACAAATAGAGTCATGAAGTTAATAAATAACAAAGTAAAATTATTTAATTTTATAGTTGGTACCTATTATCATATCATACCTAATTCGACAATATATACTTTAAAAACATTAGACATTAATGATTTTAATTGTCTTTAGGGAAAATGTTGGCTAAGAAACTTTGTAATTGATATTTGTTTGGCCATACAGTCTATGAATAAACAAACAGTTTTAAAAGTTTTATACGAAGTAATCATAATTCTCATCACTATTTCTCATGCAAATCCAGTGGTGGTGTCACCAAGTTATTATAAAAATCATTGACAGCGTATTTGATAGATGTGGATACAATATTATATATAGTAGTTACATATTGTTTTGTATTTGAAGCAAAAAATATTTTAACTAAAAAAAAGAAAATGAATTCAAAATTTGTATTTAAGAATACTAAGTTTTTGGAATTGAATTTCTTTAAAGTTTTTTTTATCATAATAGTTTTCTGGGTACCCTCTTCTAATTAGAACACAATTTAGACTTAATTATATTTTCTTAAATATCCTGATAAAATATAATCTTCTTTGTGATGGACACTTTAAAATATTTTAAATAATCAAATAATTATAATTATTAGATTATATATAAATTTATTATAATTAAATAATTATTATCAATAGTATAAATATTTTAAAAACTAAATCTTTATATATCCGTTATTATTTATTCCTTGTGTTATGGTATCTTTTTAATTGGTGATGTGATTAAGGTTTATTTTATATTAAATAAATAATAACCAGGCGGCTAAATATTAATCACCATATATTTTAAATCACTATACATAAGTAAAATGTCAAAAACAGTGTCACGGTAGTTCTCGCACTAGAGTTAAAATAACAATATACTTGGTGCATCGCCGGCCGGTTCGCGTCACCCACGGTCACTCGGCATCGCCATCGGTCGTACAAGGAGAGGTAGCTGTGTGCAGTCGCCATCCAGCGGTAAAGCTGGAAGTCAATGCGACCGCATCATTGGTTTGATGGAGGGGTCTAATAAAAAATCTGAACGATTAAAAGGTTCAGTTAAAAAAATAACTTTTTAGAGAATCTATTTTGAAATGTTGGAATAAATATTACTTTTAAACGTATTTTAATGCTAATTGAAAATTAAACTTAGGGTTATTTATAAAGGTATTTAAACTAGCAAAATCCTTTTAATTGCAACTGTTGAGTGTAACAATGAATACCATTATATACCATGAGCACTTGATATGATATTAAACTAGTTTATTAAATAGAGTGCGGTTACATTAAATACATAGATTATGGTATTCAAAAGACTGACAATGTTCTGGTTTACAATAGTCGTGCCCGGACATCTTTCGGTCTTGTTTAACCGACAAACATATAATTAACAAAATCCTTTTGGCCGGTCTGAATAATGGTATTATTAATGACGATCTGTTAATACAGTTGCGATATAAAGCTTAAAACTATTTCAAGGGCCTTTTTGCAAATCTATTAGAACTTAATTTGAAACTGAAAGTCACAGTTATTTTCTTTCAGTTGATATGTATAGAAATTCATATTTTTATTTTTTCAATGTATAATAGAGTTCTACATAAGTCAGTTTTACATAATTTTACACCATTTTATATAGATGTTCAAAAAGTAAAAAAATATGTTTGATCATTAAAATTGATCTGTTGTTTACTTATTGAACACTTTGAATAATATAGGTTAACAGTTTGATGGAAACTATAGAAACTTATTGTCTCTTTATTATAAATAACATAATTATTCAAAAGTTGTTAAATTAAAGTAGTAGTACAACCATTTATGGGAGTTTATAGCCTCTCTTGACTCCATTCAGAATAACATTTATACAATAATATAGTCTCCTAGTATCTCACAAACAAAATCAATTTATTATTAATTAAACACATTAAAAACAACAAAAAAAATGTTTTTTTTTCTTTAGATTTTTAGTTATTAGATTTGAAAATAGACACGAATATTGTTCTGAATTCTAAAAAAAAAAACAAAAATATCATTAATTCATTAATAGTAACTAAATATCACTATTTTATTTAATACAAGTAATAATTCAACTTAAAAATTATTAAAATAACTGTTTATCAGATAAATTTTATTCGATAATCGTTATTAGCAGATATATCCGCTATTTTTATGTTCTATCTTCAATGCAAAACTGAGAAAGTATTAATTGTACTATGATGTGATTTTTAGCTTCGATGCGAAGCGGAGAAGGTATTAATTTTACTATGATGTGTTTTTTTTTTTTTTTTTTTTTTTTTTTTTTTTTTTT